TATACTTTTTTGTGTTAGTAAAGTTATCCCATTTCAGCCTAAAGGCTATCTTTGGGCCATAACTTTTTTTGGGCCAAGAGTTATAGCCGGATAAAGATAAAAAATCAGTTCATAACTTTTTAACGGGTGATCGGAGTTTATCAGTCCTCTTTTTGGGAAAATAATCGAGAAAGGGGGGGTAATCAAGACATCCAAGGCTTTCGATAGTAGTCATAAGGAAAGATTGAGTTTCAAAAGAGTTATAGATAAGAATTTAAAAAACTTATAGTGAATCTTGTTCGTAAAAAATGTCCGCAAAAATTAAAAAATTTTTTTTCAAGTATTCAAATGGCAATTCAATTCCAAATGATTTTGATGTAAGTGCTTGTTTAAATCCTCCAAATATTGAAGAATTTACTCAACAAATTGAACAATTAAAAAATGAATTGGCCAAAAAATCTGCTCTATGTGAACAACGTGCAGATGCTGAAATTAAATTGCAACAACTTACAATGTTTTTTTTTTTGAAATTTAAAAAGGGAGAAATGATATTTTTTTGTTTTTTAGTGTTACACGGCAATGGCAAGCTGAAGCAGAGAAATATAAACAATGGGCATTGCAATGGCAATCTTTTCAATTAGCACAGGTTTTTTGTTTCTTATATTTGTGAAAAATCTTGGGAGCTTAGGTCTTACATATACCTATTTCCATAATTGTTGATAACCATAATATGCACGAACATTATGTTTATTGTCCATTACTGACCACTTTTCCTAGTAATGTTCTCTGATTTATTCATGTTTTCTGATTGCGTGCCGGGTGTCAGCATCGTTCAATAAATTCAATGTTCGTGCATGTTTTGATTTCTTCAGCATTTTAAAATGCTGAAGAGCTTATTTCTGTTGTAACACTTTATGTTTGGATTTTCTTGAAATTTGTTTCGGGTCTCGGTACATTTTTGGTGTTCGAGACTTGCAGCTTTTTTGGATCTAGGATTGCTAGAAACCATGTTCTTTTTAATTTGGAATACCTTAAGGAATGGTCCATTTAACTTATGTCCATACGTCCCGAACCCTTTTAAATGTTGCGGAATCCCAGTCAAATTTTTAAGTAGGGTTGGACGAGACCGGTTAAAACGAGGCTTTTTGACCCCTGTGGCAGGTCAATAAGAGAAGAGAGAAGGAAAAAGTCCGCCACAGGGAAGAAAAAACGAGGAAAAAACCGGTCTCGTCCAACCCTATTTTTAAGGTTCAGGAAGGTCCTTCATGTGATTTATGTCCTTAAAAACCTGCAAAATTAATTTCTAAGTAATTTTTATTTTTCAAGTTTGAAAATCCATCAGAACCCGCTATTCAACAATTAAAACAACAACAAACCGAATTAGAACAACAAATTCAATTTGGATGGCAAGCTTTTGAACAACAAAGTCAACAACTTACAGAGTTGGTTAAACAAAACGAAAATATTTTGGGTAGATCACAAGAACTGGAACAAAGGCTAAATGACTCTGAAAATCAATTGCAAAATTTGAGGGAACAATATGCTAATTTAAAACAACAAAAGGTTTTTTTGTTCTTTTTTAATTTGGGGGTGTTCTTTGAGGAAAGGGGGTTTCTCCCTTAATCTCCCTTAATTATTTCTTTATTCCGTTGACCATATAGTCGAATTTAACTTTATTTCGGTTAAGAGCGTCGGTGGCGTGATGGTTAGCGTCTTTGACTATACCACTAGACAATGGGGGTTCGAGTCCTTTTGGTGCCTGACATTTTTCTTTTTTCTATTTTTTCAAATTCTTACAATTTTGACATTTTTTTTTATTTTTTAAAAATTTTCAAAAATTTATTTTTCTAGTTTTTACCCTTCTAAAAATAATTTCTCCAAAATGTATTAAGATTTAATCTCAAAAATATTATTTTTCCCCTATTTTTCAGATGACTTCCCCTCCGCCCGACGAAACTTCTTCAGAAGAATTGACCTTGTTGAAAAAAGAACACGAGGATTTACTTTTATTGTTGGCGGAACAAGATAAGAAAATGCACAGTTATAGACGTTTGTTAGCCAGTCATGGTGAGGTGCTAAGCGATGCTGATGAAGAGCCTTGAACCAAAAAATGACGTTTTTTTTGTTTTTTTAAAGATTTTTTATAATCTAAATAGTATTTATTAAATTAATGACGTTAATAATATATGACATATCGTTTCTGTTAGCAAATTTCCATGAGTTGTGATTTTACTATAAATTAGATTATTGATTTTTAGTGTTGATTTTGATGGTGGTGATATTATGGGTTTAATATATAAAATTTTAATATTTTTCAGAAAATCAATAATAAAAATCGATTAGTATCGATTTTATCGATTGATATTGATTTTTTGAAAATTAAAAATTTTTTAAAAATTAATTATCGATTAGTATCGATTTTATCGATTAGTATCGATTTTTTGAAAAATAAAATTTTTTAAAAAATTAATTATCGATTAGTATCGATTTTATCGATTGATATCGATTTTTTGAATTTTAAAAATTTTTTAAAAATCATTTATCGATTAGTATCGATTTTATCGATTGATATCGATTTTTTGAAAATTAAAAATTTTTAAAAAATCAATTATCGATTAGTATCGATTTTATCGATTGATATCGATTTTTTGAAAATTAAAAATTTTTAAAAAATCAATTATCGATTAGTATCGATTTTATCGATTGATATCGATTTTTTGAAAATTAAAAATTTTTAAAAAATCAATTATCGATTAGTATCGATTTTATCGATTGATATCGATTTTTTGAAAATTAAAAATTTTTAAAAAATCAATTATCGATTAGTATCGATTTTATCGATTGATATCGATTTTTTGAAAATTAAAAATTTTTAAAAAATCAATTATCGATTAGTATCGATTTTATCGATTGATATCGATTTTTTGAAAATTAAAAATTTTTAAAAAATCAATTATCGATTAGTATCGATTTTATCGATTGATATCGATTTTTTGAAAATTAAAAATTTTTAAAAAATCAATTATCGATTAGTATCGATTTTATCGATTGATATCGATTTTTTGAAAATTAAAAATTTTTAAAAAATCAATTATCGATTAGTATCGATTTTATCGATTGATATCGATTTATTGATTTTTACTCAAACAACCCCTTTTTTCCACAAACCAATTTTATATACCGTATTTATTCTAATAAAATGGCCCCTCCATTAGAATGGCCCCTCCAATAGAATGGCCCCATTTTGGGGGTAATGAAAAATAGAATGGCCACCTCCATTAGAATGGCCCTCTAATAGAATGGCCCTTTTAACTAATAAGTATATGCCTGAATACATTTCTTTATTTTCCTATTATGTATTAAATATTACTCTTTAGTGAGGATAAGCATAATATTTTTGAGCAAATTTGGAGTCATAAAAGGGAGATTAAGAGGGATATTAAGGGATTTGAGAGGATTAGGAGAGATATCAAGAAATTACAACGATTTAATGAAGATGCATGGGATTAAGAGAATTAATAGATATTTATGAATTTGACGATATAAGGAAGTTGGATATAAGGTTGTCGGATCCGGTTCGGATATTGGATCCGGATATCCGAGGAATTCATCTATCCGACAACCTTAGTTGGATACATTTATTTTATCAGGGGACTTGCAGGGACATAGGATTTTGAGGAATAATGATGGATTGATTGAGATTTGGGATAAAATTCTGGATATTTCAGGACCCTTGAAGACATAGGAAAATTTTGGAATTTTTGGTAGTTTAGAATTTTAATTACTAATCAATATCCCTCCAAATCTCTCCCAATTCCCATATATTACGTCCAAATTCCGAGATCCCACGAACTTTTATGAGCAAACTATACCGGAAATTTTGATTGTCTGGCACCAAAGTAAATAAAAAGTTGCTTTTTTGCCCAGCAGGCAAAAGATTTTTATGTTTTATAGTGTTACAAAAATGAAGATTCACTAACCAAAGTCGAAAATATAGAATTTTACACGAAAAATCGATTAAATTTCGAAGTCAAAAAATATTCGATCGAACATTTGATTCATCCTATCTCTGATTTTTACCTATGAAAAATAGAATGGCCACCTCCATTAGAATGGCCCCTCCAATAGAATGGCCCCTTTTTGGGGGTATCGAAAAATAGAGTGGCGGCCACTCTATTAGAATAAATACGGTAATTTTAATTTAAATACAAAGAGTTAACAAACATAAGAATATTTAAAAACCGGGAAATAAAAATAAATTAATGCACACACCCCAAAAGATCAACAAACTGAAGATCAAAAAAGTTAGTGTTGATCTCCCAATTTTCGATCTTTTGGGTACCCCACAAAATAAATTATTAGATAGAGGTAAATACTTAAACAGCCTCCTTTGAAGTTGAGGCTTTCTCAATTAAATCGATTATATTTTCTTCGACTTTAATATCCTCTCCTTTAACTTTTCCTTCTTCTTCAACCTCCACTTCTTCCAACACATCTATATCAGACTCAGAATCTTCTCCTAATAATTCAAAGGCTTGATTTTGATGACCGGTACTTGGCTGTTTTGTTTTTTGATATGTTTTGTTGTCGATTGTTGTTAGGGGGGTATATCTAGAAAATTTTTAGAAAACTTGTTAAAATTTTTAAAAATTTGGGTATAAAAATTTTTAGTCCAAGTGTGCGCCATAAACTAATTTATAACGGGTGAAAACGCCAAAAGTAAAGTTTGGCGTTTTGCTATGTTATAAAATTTTTATGGCGCACAGCAAAAATAAGCATAATTAGACGCGGCCCAAATAATCACAAGCAGAAATTTAGTTAATAACACTCTAGCGTCCCGAACTTTTTAAATTTTTATTGTCGTTAGAGTCCCAAATTTTCCAATTAATCGTTGACATTAGAGTCTCATTATAATTTATATTCCCCTTTGTCCATTAGAGTTTTAGTCATATTTTCGATTGTTTGGGTATCCGAGATCCTCCTATACTCCAATGTCCCCATCAAAAAATAAAATTAAAAACTCACTCCAAATCCGCTCGCCCATTTTGTTTACTGCAACAACAAAAGTAAATCAACTTGTAACAAAGCCAACAACCCAAAGTAGCAATCAAAACAAGCACAAAAACAAACAAGAAAGACATAAAAATTGAATTGATTGTTAATAAATTTGTGGAGGCAAAAGTAGAAGAAAATGGGGAATAAGGCGTTGTTAAATATATATGGCTACAATCTTCACAACTAGTATCGTGTTGTTGTAATTGATCTGTTGAGCAACAAGGACGGCAATAACCGATGGAAGAGTTTCCGTAGCCGGGGGCACACTGGTCACATTGTAGAGGGCCTTTAAAAAAATTGATTTCGATTTTTAGAAAATTTAAAAAAATTTTTTTAAAATTTTTAGAAAATTTTTTTACAAGAAACAAATTTTTTAAAAAAAAATTTTGACGAAAAAAACTCCTAAAATAAATAGGGGAGACAACCGGATTCGAACCTGCACCCATTAAAATGATGAAAATCTGACAGGCGGAAACCTTAACCATTCGGCCATAAACAAGCTTAATTAAATACTTTAAAACGTGTATCAAAAAAATAAAAATAATTTCCCCTTCCTTACCCGGTCCATGACATAATGAACAAGCTTTATCACAATCTAAACACACGCCAGTAGCTTGATCACTTTGAAAATAACCAGCAGCACAGGTATTTATTTTTAAGACACATTTGGCTTGTATTGTGCTTTTATCTGTAGAAAATTTAAGAAAAATTCAAAAGTTTTGTTAGAAATACCCAAAAGATAGTGATATTTTGGGCCATAACTTTTCTGATTTTCAATCGATCCAAGTAATTATTACACTAAACGAAAGCTCTGGTTGTGAGCATTATTTTACCTAAAAGGACTGACTTGATCAGACCATTCAACAAAAAGTTACAGCAAAATAAAGGTCAAAAATCACGACTACGCGCAGTTATCAGTCCATAACTCTTTATCAGGTGATCGGGTCTTATCAGTCCTATTGGCAAAAATAATCCTCACATCCATAGCTTTCGACTGATATAATAACTATTTAAATCGGTTAATAATCAAAAAAGTTATGGCGCCAAATATGGTCTCGAGACTGAAAAACTTTGTGATATTTTGGTTGGTGACCTTTTGGGTGTCTCAGAAAAATTTTAAAAAATTCAAAAAACTCACAAACAGCAACTAAACCGGAGGGACACGAATCTACACACCTCCCATGATCCAAATGTCCATAATGTTTAACATCTATAAGCAATTTTGCCCCATGACAGGTATCACACAATTCGCCAGAAGAACAAGTTTCGCAATCAGAAGAACATCTTTTACATTTATCCCCATCAGCATAAAAACCGGTGTCGCAATGGGAAACACATCTAAAATTATATTTTTAAAAATATTCCTAGACTCTAGTCAGTCAATTCAGCCAGAAAAATGTTCTCCTAATTGAGAGCTTTCAAATGATTTAAAATTTTTGTAAGGATTGAATCAAGGCTAAAAAAAGAGTTATGGCCATTTAAAAAGTTATCAAAATTTAAGCCCCGTTAAATAGTGAGAGATCATTGAAAAAAAAATTATTTTTAATTTCAATACATTTTTAGTCAAATATTCCCACGTTAAAAAATAATTCTATAAAAAAAATAATTTTCTCGCTCCTTACTTAAATCCAGCCCGATTTCTCAAAGATTGAGTAAAATGACGGCAAGAAAAACAGGCAGTTTGAGACTTGCTCTCAGAACAACCCAAACATTCTGGATGACAATCACCGACAGAACGTAAATCGCCAAATGTTATAGCTGCTTCTTCTTGTGTTGTTGTTGTTATTGTTTCGTTCTAATTTTTTAAAACCAATTTTTAATTTTTAAAACTTAAAGTTGTGCGCCAAAAATGTTTTGAGGTTTTAAAATGTTCAGATTTTATAAAACTTGTTTTTAATCTTTAAAAACATTTTTATAAACTTTTTAAAACATGTTTTTGGAGAAACATGCGCCTGTTTATCTTAAAAACATGTTTCTAAAGCGTTCAAAACATGTTTTTATTAATATTAAAACATGTTTTATCAAAACATGTTTTTATTAATATTAAAACATGTTTTTCTGATTCCTAAGTTTTTCTGATTTAAATAAAATGTTTAGGCTTAGAATTTTTAAAGAGAAACATGTTTGACAGAAACAAGACTCTAATATACCATAATCGACGAGAATGGTGGAGGGAAGATATTAAATTTAAAAATGCCAAAAAAAATTCTAAAAAAATTTTGGATTAAATTTTTAGAGGAATAAAACAATTTAAAAATTCTAAAAGAATCTAAAAAAGAATATTTTTTAAATAAAAAATTTAGCAAAAATAAATTCAGGTGTCTTTCCCTCCCCCCAATTCTCGTCGATTACAATTAAATTTAAATTTAAAAAATTACAAAAAATTTTAAAAAAGCTTTTTATTCAGCATTTTAAAAATCTGAAAAAATAAAAAAAACAAATGAACTAAAAATTAAAAAAATTTTTTAATTAAGAAAATTCTACATACAATTTAAATGCTTCTACTTTTCTGCTTCTACTACAAAGTAGAAGCAAAATGCTTCTACTAAAGGTATACAAAACAAATACACAAAAAAAATTAAAAAAAATATCACATAATATAAAAAATTGAATTTTTTAAATGCGGGAATTAAAAAATATTAAATACACTTTTAGAAAAAAAATTGAAAAAAATTAGATAGGAGGGAAACTCGGTTTTTTTTTAAATTTAAGTGTTAGAAATTTTTTTGAATAATATTCTGACATTATTCTGATACTAGAAATGGCTCTAGAATTAAAAAAATGTTGCTGAAGGCTAGAAAAAAATTTTTTTTAATTGTAAAAGGTCAAAGAAATTAAAAAAAATTTTTCCTTAAAGTCCACAAGAGTTTCCCCCATCTCTAAAAATATTAAACAAAAAAAAGAAGAATTAGAGAAAAATATTATTAGAGATTGAGACTTGAAGGATCTCATCAATCAATCAGGATTCCTAAAGATAGATGATATCTCTTAAAAACCAAATGCAATCCCCCTATCTAAATCTCTTTTAGTATTCAATCTCTAATTTTTAGTAAAAAAATAAAATAAACAAGGAAGTGTAAATTTAAAAAAATAATTTTTTAAGTAAATTTAACGAAGTGTATGATTTAAGTATATATTTAAAAAGATAGAAGTATTAAGTATTATAAAATCACAAACGATTAGAAAAAAATTTTTTTTTGGCAAAATATAAAATACAGAATGGAAGCTCTTAATAACGTCATCTCATCTCCCACGTCACCTCCTTCCTCTTTCAGTTTCAATTCCTCCCCTCCCCCCTAACAGTCCCCCTCCCTTTGAAGTCCGTTCAATTCAGCCGAGAAAAGACATATACTATAAGTTTTGTGCCTGGATCGACTTAGAGTCAAAGCTAGGAAGGGTCACATATATAAACATCGGGATTGATATCCATCCCTAAAAATGTATCCTCCAAAATATAGCCACTCGACAACCCTGAGATTTTTATTCAAAAGATCTCGTCTCGATCCGAACACTAGATTTAATAATTCCCTCCCTCTCAACTCCCTTCCCCCTTTTCCTACATCCGCAAAATTTGATCCCGAAAGGGATGACGTTATATAAAGATTCCATTGTATAAAGGAGAAAGAAAATTTATTTTTAAGAAAATTTCATGGAAAACTTAATTGAAGTGTGGATATGTCTTTTTAAAAAAAACAAAAAGTATGAAAAACAAAAAAAATTAATGAAAGCGCTTCGCTTAAGCAATTAAAAAATTGAACTAAAAAAATTTTCTACAAAAAATTAAAAAAAAAAATAAAATTCTTCTCACAGCGTTGCGCTTTTTTAGTTTTTAGCGTAGTAGAAAGCCTCCACCCCGAATCAAATTTGTAAAGCGAGACCACACTGATGGAGCCTAAAATTTTTTTCTAGTTTTGGATTTTCCTGGACCTTCATTCTCAACTTTAAAAAAATATTTATAAACTTGCCCTCGTTAAAATTAAAAAATTCTTTTTAATTGGGCAGTCCTCCCAAGACTTAAAAATCCTCCCAAGACTTACTATCTATTTTTTATGATTTTTGCAAGTGCTAGAGGGGAAAATTGGGAAGAATTGAAATTTTTTCCGGATAAATTATCTGTTAAAAATTATTAAAAGTCAGTTAGAATCATTTTTAAGTGGGCAGTCCTCCCAAGACTTAAAAATCCTCCCAAGACTTATCTATTTTTTTATAATTTTTGTAAGTGCTAGGGGGAAATTGGGAAGAATTGAAAATCTTTCTAGGTAAAGAATTATCTGTTAAAAATTAAAAGTCAGTTAGAATCAGTGTGAAATCGGCTTTTAAAAATTATTTAAAAAATGTATGGCAACTAAGGGGTAGAATTTGAAAAACAAAATTAAATTTTGGGTAAAAATTAGAAAAGGGGTTTGTACATAAAAATGCAGAAACAAAGTTAAGGCAAAATAGGGAACAAAAAGTGTGTTAAACAAAAAAAAAACAACAAAAATTGTTAAAAAAACACAGCAAACCAAACCTTAAAAAAGGATCGGGTAAAAAAGGTTGTCATTACGGACATAAAAAGAAGGTCCAGATCGAGTAAAAGAAACCCTAATTATACATATAATCAGTCCCTCTTACATACACATTGATCAACAAAAAAAACTAGATATCAATCTAAGAAGAAGATAATCACGCTTATGCGTACACCCTCTCGGGACCGAAAAAGACACAAACTCAAGTGAGGTCCTTAAACTACGACTGTAACTGTTTTAAAGTTCGAAAAAAAACCTATCCAAAACCTTCAAAGGATATGTCTTTAAAAATCTTGTCACAAACGCTCTTACTTAGTAGATATTTATTTACCCGATCCTTAATTTTTTAGTTTATTCCACACCTTTAATTTTAAATTTTTTTTTAATTTTAAAAAATGTTAGTTTTTATTTATTTATTATTATTATTATTTTTGTTGTTTTTACAAGCCTTTTTTGATGAATTTTTATTATTAAAAAATTCCTCTTTATTAGTTGTTGTTATAGTTAAATTATTTATTGGTGTTATTGGTGTTGTTGTAGAAAATGTTGTTGTTGGTGTTGTTTCTCCCCCATTTACTCCTCCACTTCCATTATTTAAATTAGTTAAGCAACTATCAGAAATTTTATTTCCTCCTCCTCGCTTCTTTCTTCTACATTTTATACATAATTTTATACATATAAATATTCCAATTAATTTAATAAATATTAGAGCTATTATTTGTAGTATGGTGATGAGTTGGGGCAAATCAATCATCATCTGTTAGAAGAGGAGAAAGGAATTTTTGAAAATTTTTTTTGTTAATTTTTTTTAAAAAAAGGAAAAAAATAATAAAAAATTAAATATTAAGCAACTCAAAAAAAATTTTTTTTTGAAAAAAAATTAGTTAAAAAAAAATATTTTAAAAATAAAATTATTAAGCACACCCTTAAGCGACTAAAAAAATAATTTTTTTTCTAGGCTAAAAGACATTTATCCAGAACTTTTTTCGAATTTTTTCTGAAGAGACATTTCGTCCCAAAATTTTTTTTTTAATTTTGATTTCTTTCTCCTTTTTTAAAGGAAAATTTAAAAAGATTTAAAAAATCTAAATTTTAAGACAGTAAAAGTTTAAAGTGAATAGAATTAAAGGAATTGAAAAATAAGTGATATGTAGGAGAGGAATTTTTTAGTGTATTAAAAAATAGGAAAAAATGTTAGAAACCCCTAAAAATAAAAAAATCTCCAAAAAAATTTCTAAAAAATTTTAAGGAATAGAAAAAATTTTTTTAATTGGAGGTTTCAACCTTAAAAATTTTTTTTAATTCAGAAAAATCCTAAAAAATTTCTTGAAAAAATATTTCGAAGAAAAGGAACAGTTAGAGTATTAAAAGTTAAAAATAAAGTTTTGTAAGTTTTAAGAAACAGAAACATGTTAAAAAATGTTTTTTTGGATAGGAAAAATTTTTTAAAAAATTTTCAAAAAAATTTCAAAAAATTAACTACACTCTAATATACTCCCTTAAAATACACTACTACAAAACTAATCTCGTCTCGTATTCACAATTCTACTCAAATGTCTAATAAAATTGCCAAATATATTATTATTATTATTCGACGAGAATTGAGGAGAGGAGACTCCACCTCCATTATTATTATTATTAAAATTCTTTTTTAATTGTGGTGGAGGAATATTATTATTTATATGTTGGTGTTGTAATGGTCTATTAGCTGTAGGTGATCCTGTAAACCAACCGGGCCAACCACCACCACTTCCCCCTCCATTTTTATTAAAATTTCCACTACCACCACCTCCATTTACACGCCGATTATTTGTGCCTACCTGAGAAGGTTGTCCAATACCGCCAGAAGAAGGACGATGAAATTGTTGTGGAACATATGGACCATAACGTTGATCACTCGGTTGGGCTGGCTCTTCTGTTCCATATAAAAGCATTGTCCAATCACTGAATATTCCTACAAAAAATAAAATATTTTTAGAAGATTAAAAAATTAATTTTTGCATTTTTCAAGAAATTTTTAATTGACAAAAAATAACAAAAAAAAAATTTTTTTTTTGACACCTAAGTCTGCGTACTAAAATCGAAAAATTATTAAGGAAACTTGAAACAAAAAATTTTTTTCAGGTCAGTCTGACAACCCAAAAAACTCCGTTTATTTTTTCTCCGTTTTAAAGTAAACCTCTTAATTTATTCTTTTAAATCAAAAGGTACCACTTTCAAAACTTAAATGTAAAAAAATTTGGTACATTATGGATGTATCACCCCCCCCCCCCTATTTTGAGTCTCAGAGTCTTCCTTAATATGTAATAATGGTCAGCTTTTTTCCTACCCCAACTTCTCTCCATTTGCCTGTGGTAGGTTGAATGATTGAAAAATTAATCTTTTCTTTATTAATGCCTCTAATTCAAATTTACCACAAGGAAATGGAGAGAAATTGGGTTAGGAAAAATGCTGACATTTATTACATATAAGGAAACTCTGAGACTCAAAATAGGGGGGGGGGGGTGATATATCCATAAAGTACCAAAAAATTTTTATAACAGGGATAGGCTTGGTTACCCGAAGTCCGGACCCAAAGACCTGTATTTTTTCTCACTCGACATGAAACCAGACCCGAAGAGAATTTTCAAAAATGTGACCAGACAATTATTTTCTCTCAACCCGGTCCCATTCAAAAATGAAAATTTAAATATTCTCCTATCTATTTAGTCTCTTCTAATTAATAAATAAACTCATTCTGCCCTATTTTAAAATTTTAAATAAAGAAATTTTTTTAAAAACAAACCTCCAATATTCATATTAGTAGAAATTGATTCAACCAACAATGTCCAAATTCCTCTAGGATCTTCTCCCCACATTTGGACTGTAAGGAAAGGCCATTTATGGAAGCCATTTTGATTGTAATCCTTCAAAAAAATTTTTTTGAAAATTTTTCAAAAACTCAAAAAAAAACCTGTGGCCTCGGAGGTAACAAAACTGAACGTGTTCCCATTGGAGAAAACAAAGTTAATTTTAAATCGCCTCTCTTTCCAAAACGTATAGTTGTTATAACTTGGATATGTTCAATATAGAGTACAGGTAAGCCTTGAAGACATCCTGTGACTTCCAAGGAAAAATTCATTGCAAAACGGCCAGTAATTGGGCGAGGTCTATAAATAAAGTGTGAAATATTTTAGAAAATATTTTAAAGAATTTTTTGGAAAGTAGAAATATCGAAGAGGGGTCCTCCTGAATTTTTAGAAGTAAAAGGCGGAAGAAAATAAAGAAACAAGAAGACGTAATCGCAGTGAACGAGGTCCCATCCCCAATGAATATTCAAAATACTGTTAAAGGGATTCTGTCTAAAAATATGTTTAGATTCTGTTTGAAAGGACATTTCTCCTCCTTTTCCTTAAAAAATTTCAACGCCTCAAAAAAACATTTGGTCATAAAGTTATCAATTAACCAAGGGACGACCAATTTATCATCAGGATTGGGTTACCCAAAACTCGGACTACCTTTCGTCCTTAAACGCGATCCAAAAAAAATTTTGAAAGCCCGATACGAGAAGCCCGATATTTTCTCAACCTACCCCATCCCTTCTGGTTTCCCCAAAATTTTATATCAAAAAAAAAAAACCTTGGTGCATCCAAAATATATTCATAAGTGCACATATGCTGTTCAGGTACAGTTTGCCAAACTCTTGCCAATTTAACCAAAGCACCAGCATCCATTAATCCATAACCAAATTTATTGCTAATACGCCTTCCAACACCATTAATTGCCCAACCAGGATTATTTAGTAAAGGATTTGGATTTGCTGTCCTCAAAACTATATGTTGCATATCACGCCAGGTAAGTGATGGACTGGAAAATAAAAAAAATTGTCTAAAATTTTTTAGAGAGAGAAGTTGCTGAAAAATCTTTCAGTTGAGTGTAGGCTTATGGAAAATCATTGGGTATCCAGGAATGAAAAAATACCCAATTTGGTCCCAAATCGATAATCCTATCTTCCCACCAGAATCACAATCCTCAAAAGATAAGATTTTCCTCAAAATTATTTTTTAATAAGGTTCCTTGATTTGGATTTGCAAGGGTCGGTCAAGAACAAAGGTCGGCAAGACAAGGATCGGTCAAGAAACCTAGAATGCATAAAAATCCCAAGGATATCTAGATACGGAAAATGTTGGTAGGAGTATTCAACCACGATTCCCTAAGAATAATCTAGCCGGAAAACCTCCAAACTTTGGACTAAGCGAAGTCCTAAATTATAAAAACCTTTAAAAAATTCTTCAAGAAACAAACTTTGCTTCCAACGCCAAAGCAATAATTCCTGCAGCTAAAGGGGCACTAGCACTTGTTCCTGTATGCATTTTTGTACATCCAATTGGGACATCTACTGTTACCTTTAAATTAAAAACATCAATACATAAAAATTTTCTTTCAAAAAAATACTATAGCCGGCTGATTTATATTAGCAGACGAATATGTTGTAGCAATAGAGGACGGGCATTCTTCCAAATACCAAGGCTTGTGATTGTCAAAAGTTGCAGAGCTTATACTTAATGTATAAATTGAAGTAGTATAACCATCAGCTGAACAACTGTCTTGTCTTTAAAAAAATTTTTTTTTAATTTAGAAAAAATAAAAAACCGTGAACCACCATTTCCACTTGCCCAAACAAAAATATTTCCTTTACCACCACGTCCTTGTTTGATTCCTTAAATTAAAAATAAGAGGTGAAAAAAAAATTTTATAAAAAAAATTTTTTTTAATTGTAAAAATTAAAAAAAATTATTTTCAACGAAAATAATAATAAAAAGGGCCAAACACGACTTTAAAAAACTGAAAAGATTCGAACCCACAGGTGTCCACACGCAAGACCGAGATACTACCGACTTAACCACCCGAACACATAATCTATTTTATAAAATTCCCCCTATAGTTGTTTTAAGAAAACATTGAGATTTTAATCGGTAGAACAGATATCGTTCTAAAGCGATTGGGCACGAAGGAAAAAAATTTTTTTTTGTAAAACTTTCCACCAAAAATTCATTTTAAAAACTCAAAAAATCTTAAATAAACCCAAAAACAAAATTAAAAATAAAACCTCTATAAAACGCTTCCTGTGCCAAATTTCCAGGCCCATCAAATGTCTTTCCATCATCTTCTGGCCCCCAACTTGCCGAATAAATATCGATATGTTGTTGATTTAAATTTAAAGAAGCAGCCTCTACACTATCACTAACAGGGCCATCAAGCATTCTAACACCCCCAATTTTTGATAGAAAGGCAACACCAACTCCACAAACATCATTCCCAGCAATTGCTGCAACTTCTCCTGCACAACGAGTTCCATGTCTATTTTTGAGGGGAATTAATTAGAGGGTAAAAGGAGATAAACAAAGAAATTTGGCAATAATACTCCTAGTGAGGAGAAGGATAGGTTGAGAAAGAGTGTTAGGGTTTCGGGTTGAAAAAAGTTGGCTCTTGTCCAGTTTATGCGTCCCATGAAAGTATATGCGTCCCAGCAACAAAAAATTGGATATTTCTTGTTGTTGCAAAGTAGGGGTATGGTTCCAAAGCATTTCTTCATGTTCGGGATCTACGTCCACTGGGTCTGGGACCGTTACTTACCCTATACCTCGAAATTTCTGTGTGTTAAAATCGTTTTTCTGAAATTTTTAAAAATTGGCTATAACTTTCAGAAATTTCGAAGGATAGGGTAAGTAACGGTCCCAGACCCAGTGGACGTAGATCCCGAACATGAAGAAATGCTTTGGAACCATACCCCTACTTTGCAACAACAAAAAATATCCAATTTTTTGTTGATGGGACGCATATACTTTCATGGGACGCATAAACTGGACAAGAGCCAAAAGTTAATGTCTCGGGTCAATTAGGGAAATTAAGTAGGAAAGAAGTCGGGTAAGTTTCAGGTTAAAAAGTCAAGCCCAGGCTCAGGATTTCGAGTAACCTGTCGCATCCTTGGTGAGTAGTAAAATTCCGAAAAGAAAACCAAATAACTGAGATCAACAAATGGAAATGTTTCTTACCTAGCTCTTAAAAAAAAGCGAATTTTTGAATTTTTCTATCCTCAATAACGAAAAATGAATTTTCCTATCCCATTGCTATCTCCCTTAACTTTAAAAACAGACAAAATACATACTTATTATCTCCATTGTTTTGAGGTGTTGGATCCGCATCATGGTCATTTATATCAGTACTCGCATACGGGTCATAATTATGGACCAAATCTGGGTGGTCTCTTTGAATGCCATCGTCCAAAATTGAAATTGAGACATTTCTGCCAGCATAACCCATTAACCAAGCTTCTCTTACATTCATATCAAATCCTCCTACTGCACGGCCAATCTGAACAAAAAAAAGTTTTTTCTCACAAGGGATTTTCATTCGATAGTTTTCCATTCGATAGAGGACCCTCGACTTTCTATTGTAAGTGTTACAAGTTTTCTTGCAAAATGACTTTAGGCCAAGTTATGGCCGTTCAAAGTAGGGTAGCTCCCCGAGCCTTCGAAGTCGGAAGTGTCGGGGATCGGGGTTTGCCGAGGAGGGCACGTCGGGTTTCGGGTTGACTTTTAGGCGAGGTTCGAGGTCGAGTTTGAAGTTTCAGTTTTTTGAAAGTCTAGGCCTGTCTACTATTAATTCAGCTGGGCCCAAAGTGATTTTGCAAGAAAACGGATATCAATTCACAATACAAAGTCGAGGGTCCTCTATCCAATGGTACCCAAAAATACCAAATCCTTGTCAAAAAATTTAAAAAAAAATCAAAAAACTAACCAAATACCATTGATCTTGATATAAAGGATCTGAAAATGGCAATTTTGGAACTGGTCGACGTTCAAAAAATGTTGTTTGACGACGCTTTCTGCCAGATTGAGTTTCTTCTAGAGGGCCGATTATTGAAGGTTGTTCAATATAATCACGTTTAACTCGTCGTCTAGGCCTGTCTACTATTAATTCAGCAACTTCTGGTCTATCCTGTATACTTTCTAAAGAACGCTTTCTCCTTCGTTGAGCGCCAACACCCGTTTTGTCTTCAGAGAGGAAATAATGCGAATCAAGGAAAGGTTCGCCCTAAAAATTGAGAGTTAGTTTACTTGTTAAAATGTTTATTTTGACGTTATATAAAAATAGCAAAGCCAGGAAAAAAAATTTTGAAACAAAATCCCAAATTTAAATATGTAAAAGGTAAGAAACAATCAAAAATGCAAAAAAAAGCCTTTTACTAAATTTGGTCACCAAAAATAACCTCAAAAAATTTTTTCAGAAGAAAATCACTCGAAACTTAAAGAAAAGGAAGTTGGGGAACAAAAATATTAAAAAGCTAAAAATATAACCAGTAACCGGATTCGAACCCACGACCCTCAAGTTGGAAACCCAACCGACTTAACCACAGACACCAACAGTCAAAAAATCATAAAACAGCTCTCTTATTCCCCTTTAAACTCAATTCTACTGAAAAAAGCAAACCTTAACAACCATTCCGTGTTCTTGAGCAATTTCTCTAGCCTTCCTATCATCACGTTTCACCAGTTTTAGAATATTATGGGAAGGTTCCTCACATTTTTGAACACCCGTATTGTCCTCAGAATGTGAACATAAAATTGAATCATGGGCAATTCCTGTCACATTATTAATTGAAATATGAAGCAATAACAAGATTTTGAACAAAAAATAAAGCTGTCGTTTAATACAAAAATTTGAAGAAGAGCCTGTAGGCAATCTAGAAATTGATAATTTGAACCGGATAGACCTCCTATTTTTCTCCCCAATTTTTCCAGTATACTTTTGCAAAATGGTCAGACTTTTTCCTTTCTTCCATCCAAATTGCCTTTGCTTAGAAACAATCTCAAGATGAATTGATGGTACTTGTCGGTTATCCCTACGTGTTTTTTGCGGACATATTTTGCGGACAATTGTACGGAGTGGTCAATTTCTTCCTTCCTCTCTCCTATGTAGTTGTCAACCAAAATTGATGTAATTTGATGTATACATCAATCCTTCACGATTGATTAATATTTAAATGAGGGAGGAATTGACCATTCCGTACAATTGTCCGCAAAAAAAGTCCGCAAAAAACACGTAGGGATAACCGACAAGTCACCGAATTAATTTTTAATCTCCCTGGAAAGAGAAGAAAATTAGGATGGAAGAAAGGGAGTGGTCTGACCATTCTACAAAAATATAAGAAGAAATTTGGAGAAGAAAAAAGGGGTCTGTCTGGTTAAATATTACCTAGAAATTTGTTTCTGCTGCTGCTGATTTGGCTCTTTTATTGATTTTTGCCTGTCCTGTTCTTTATTCCTGCATTGCCACTTACGCATTGAAGATTAGAAGGGAAAGTTGAACAAACAAAAAAAGTGTGTGGGTAACGTGGACAGTTTTGGGCAAAAAAATTGACAGAAGAGCCCGAAACTGAAAAAATTTTTTTTAATTTTAATTAAGAATTCAAACCTTTAAGAAGTTGTTTGGTTGATTAGAATAAATAGAGGAACCCACCAACACTGCCTAAAAATAAAAAAAAATTATAAAAAAAAAGTATAGGGAAATAACGCGAATATAAATAAAATGTGAACAAATATTATGTAAATAATGGGGTTTAAGCAAACTAAAAAAAAGGAAGGAAATTTTTAAATTTTATGAACCCTAAAATTTGAAAAAAAAATTTTTCAATTTTTTTATACCTAGAAAAAAAAGTTTTCACAAAAAAACTTAATTCCTAGCAAAAATAAAACATTTGCCCAAAAAAGGATTCGAACCCATAACTACCCTCTTCTTGAAACCCAACCCTATCCAACTCCACCACCAAGACAACTTATGGTCAAATGCTTTTATTGACCTTTATTATTCTTCCTTATTAGTCTAATTATTACAAAAATTATTTTTAAGCCTATAAAATCAAAAAAATTTTTTCTAACCCTTAGGCTTATTAAAAATAAATTTCAAGCCTTTTTTCTACTCAATATACCCCCTATAAAACTGCAAAAAAGAGCAAAACGTGTCAGATATATTAAAATACTAAAATTTTATTAATTAAAAAGGCAGCGCAATAATTTTCCTTAAAAGACGTCTAAAAGTGTACACAAACACAAACTTTACGTTGGAATGCAATATAAGGGTATAGGAGAGTGTTTAGTTAAACAAATTCGGCGAATAAAAAAAAATTAAAAAAAAATTAAAAAAAGAACACTACTCTTGTTAGCGATGATGAATTTTTATTTTAGAAAAGAAAATGAAAGGGCAAAAATAAATATTTTTATTTATTTTATTCCTTTTTAAATTCCTTTTACTAAAAAGGACTTCGGAAAAAATTAAAAAGAAATAAAAAGATTAAAAAAATATTTAATTAGCATAAAAGAAAGACATTTGGGCGCAGGACCCAACAGGGCGCAAGGTTCTATAAACTTGGCAATTGAGCATCCTGGATGTCCAAAATTTGCATAAGCATTCTTTATAGGGTTACTAGACTGCTCCAAAAATTTCAGAATTTTTGGTTCGGAATTTTAAAAGTTATGACCAGAAGAGTCCCAATTGTAGGGAGAAAAAGTAAATTAAGCAAACATTTTTGGCCATAACCTTGGACACACTAAACCAAAATTTCTAAAATTTTCAGGGTTGCTAGATAACATTCTAGAGAACATCTAAACAAAATTTCACAATTCTAACTCTTCAACAGCCGTAGATATACAAGCGCGCGCCCACTCCTTGTTCGCGCCGAAACGTTTTTTTCCTCTAAAAGCCGCGCAGCAGAGTGAGACGAAAAATCCCAAACATCAAAAAAGTAAAAAGAGAGAGAGATCAATTTTCTCTTTTTAACGCCCAAAAACTCTCCAAATTACTACACTATTATTGATGCTGAATGAATTTTACTACTATTTATTATTTTAATTTTTAACACCCCTCTTTAGCGCGCATAAAAGTGCAAATTGATTTGTATTTAAATATTAAATTGATGTAGAAAAATTATTAAAATACATAATTTTAAGTGAGGGATTAAAAAAAGAGAAGATCTGAGAGAAGATTGATACTTAATCCCCAACTCTTTTAAGAGGAAAATAAAAGGATTAGTTAAGGTGATAGTTAAAAGAGAAACTCTAATGGTCTGAAAAGCAGGGGGAGGGGGTCAATTAGAGCCTTGTATCAATTAGAGTCTGTTCTATTAAACTCTGGTGTTGATCGCACTACATGAGGTGTGTTGATCAACTATTGGATCAAGACTCTTGGACCTAGGTCCATTAGAGTCTGAAGATGTAGGCTCCACCCCCTAACGGATTTTCGTCTAGGGGTCTAATGCGTGAATGGAATGGCTCTTTATGAATGGCCCTTTATTTGACTCAAGTCCCCCTAAAGATCATCAAAACACCCATTAGAGTCTGAACCTAAATAAAAATTTTAAAAATAATTCCCAGACTCTAATGTCAATTTTCTGGCCTTAGGGAAGATTTATAGTTAAAAACAGGTAGTTAAGAAAATACATCTTTTCAAGGCTGTCTCAATTAAAAAAAAATTTCAAAAAAACTTTTGATAAAAAAATTGCAGATGCGCAATGGGGGTAAAAAGATAAAATATAAAAAGAAAAATGGTTCTAGCAAATATAAAAAAAAATTTTTAAAAAGAAACAAGTTATGTAATAAATATAGCTAAAAATATGACTCAATCATAAATAAATAACGGTCGGGCCACCGACACTAAAAAACACTTTTTTGATGTCACTTTTTTATTGTTACACAAAAATTATTAAAAAAATGTTCACCCCTCCTTATTTGGAAAATTATAAAAATTCAGGTGTGCGCAAAAAACTTTTCTGTGGAGAAAATAAACGCCAATTTTTGCGTTGTGCTATTTTGTCCGTTATAAACTTTATTTTGCGCACACCAAAAGTATATAAAATTTTAAATTATAAAATTTAAGTGTGCGCAAAAAACTTTTTTGTGGGGGGAATAAACGCCAAATTTTTGCGTTCCCGTTATAAACTTGATTTTGCGCACACCCGAATTATATAAATTTTAAATCAAGAAAAATCAAGTGTGCGCAAAAACATTTTTGCGGGGGAAATAAACGCCAATTTTTGCGTTCCCGTTATAAACTTGATTTTGCGCACACCAAATTAAATAAAATTTTTAAATCGTTGTAAAAATTAGCCTTTGCTCGTTTTTAAACTTTTTAACGAATAAACACACAAAAGGTAATAAAAAGGAAGCAAAAAAATATGCGCAATAAATTGCCGCTATATGTAGAAATTAAAATAAATTGAATAGGCCAAGGATTAGCGAACAGGTACATTAAAAAAATTAATTTATCGTTCAAGGTAGAGAAAAAAATATAAAATTTAATAAATGATCGGTTAAAGACGGAGGTGCGCGAAAATATAAAAAAATTTAGTTGAGGGAAGAAATCGATCTCTTTTTTTAATTTTTGCAGACAGGGGAAGGAAAAGTATCTTAATTAAAAATCAAGACTCTAATGGTCAGTTGATGGGTTTGGACTTGATTTGACACTCTCTTCGATAAGTAGCTAGAGGGCGGGATAACTGGGAAATTTTTAATTCCTGGTTGTCCCAGAATGTGAATAAGAGACATTTCGGCGCGGGAGATCTTAATTAAAAATGCTAAACTCTAATGGTCAGATGAACAGTTAAGTGCTGATCAGACGGAAGTGATTTTCCGGATTGGACTTGATTTGAATCTCTCTTCGATAAGTCATTAGAGGGTGTGATAACTGGGAGATTTTTAGTCTCCGGTTGTCCCAGAATGTGGATAAGGGACGTTTCGGCGCGAGAGTTATTCCCCCCAAATTATCCCGGTTAAGGCTTGTCATAAAAGAGGTTTGTGATAATATGAATACACTCCTCCACAAAATTATAGCCCCACCTATATTTTTCTCGGTTTTCATACTGTATCCGTTGTTTTTATTTTCAGACTTTTTTTTATTAATAAATAGTGGTCTATAATTAGGTTTATAAAAAAATTTTGTTATCAAATCAATTTTTTCAAAAGTTATAGCAAATCTCAAATTTTAGGGTTCCAAAATTATAGCCCCACTTTGAGATTTCGAGTTTCTAACATTAAGAAAAATCTACAAAAATTTGACCTAACATATTTATCGATTCTAAGAAAAAATAAAAAAGAATTAGACCCATATCTCACTTGGGTGTCGAGATCCAGATACCTCGAAAATCAACGTAAATCGGGGGTAAGGCTATTTAAAAAATATTTTCGACCTCTTATCGTTTGTTTTAAAATTTCATTTTGGGCTCATTCGAAAGCCCTTGAAATTTGCTACATGATAGTAATACTCATATCTCTCAGAAAAAATTTAATAGAGATATGCAGGACGTTAATCTTCCGGAGCTACTTTTATGGGGCATTAGGGGGCCTACTGAACTAATTATTATGGGGCTTACTGAAATAATTTTTCTTGAAAATAAAACTTATGCAATCTTGTAGCAAATTTCAAGGGCTTTCGAATGAGCCCAAAATGAAATTTTAAAACAAACGATAAGAGGTC